AAAACCACTCATATTCAACCTCAGCTTCAAACAACACCTATAGAACACATATAGAGATAACAGATGGACAGCAACGGAGACGCGGCCGCCGAGCCCGGAGCCCCGGGAGGGTCTGACCACTGCCCGAGCCGGGCGAGCCGAGGGGTTCCAGAGAGATACGCGTAGTCCCCCCCCCGCGTGGCTAGATCCCGCGCGGGCCTCGCGCCTTATTTTCATTGGTTCTCGGGATTCTTTGCCATGTGTATTCTTTTGTCTATTGTGGGGAGCCCCCAGGCGTGGGCTCTGCGCGCGAGGCCTTCCCGCCCGCCCAGGTGCGGGAACAGGTGCAGAGGGAGCGTCAGGTGCGAGCCCTGTGCACGCCCACCCGCCCCCGTCCGGACCGGGGCGGGGCGGGGTGCGGGGTCTCGGGGCCTTCCCCCCGCGGCCCCCCGCAGCCCGCGGGCCTCGGCCCAGGCGCCCCCGTGTCAGCCGCAGAAACCACGCAGCGGGACTTCCGCAAATAGCACTTAGGCCCCGGCTGGGAGAGGAACGTCGTCCTCTCTATTTCGTGATGAAGCTTTCACGTGGGTGCACATAAGAGGGTCTTTGTAACTTTTTTTTTTTTTAGTGGAACCAATCACATTAACATGCTCTCTGCGTGGTTGGGGGAAATGGAAACGTGCATTTTAAAACGTGAAGTCATTCTACCACCCAAAGACACGCACCACAGACAGTTTCCTTTTGGTCCCCTGTTGTACCCATGAAGTTCCCTTTCTCCTCTTCTTCCCCCTCCTCGTTTATGCAGCTTTGTATGCAGCTCTGCCTGCTTTTAGAAAGCGTTCGCTAGCACGGGTCCCATTGATCCTCTGCAGCCATTGCTGGTCGTGCTGGCCAGCGCCCCTTGTTTCACCGCCTGTGTTGGAACCGCGTTCTTGCAGTTTGCTTTTCCTCCACGGTTTCTCCTCCATATACGGACGTTCCAGCCACCCTTCCTCGGGTACAGCTTCCTTTCCTACCAGAGGGAGAGGGGACGGGAGAGCGAGCGGGATGGGTTTGTTGTTCCACTTCCTCGTGGGTCCACTGGTTGCTTCTGGTCAGGGGGCGTCAGGGGGCGTACCTGCATCACTTGTGTGTGTGAGTGTGTGTGTGTAGAATTCTGAAAATTCTAACAAATATGTAATTTCCACAATAGGATTCAAAACCTATTGGTTGTTTGATCCCAAAGCATTTCCACGTGGGGCCTCTCTGTGTTCCGCCCCTCCCCCAGCCCTGGGCACCTGTTGGCCTCGGTGTTTCCGGGGGTCCCAGCTGGAGGCGCGGCGTGGACGGGGCCTCGGAGTCTGGCTTCGCTCACGGGCACCGTGCATTGAGATTCGCCGCGGCTCCTGCAGGCGTGAGGGTTGGGTTCTTCATGCCGCTTGGGAGTGTCCGTGGTGTGGAGGGGCCAGGATTCACCCGTGCACCTGCTGAAGGGCATCTGGGTTGTTGCAGCGTGTATGGGAGTCCGTGGAGTTCACACGGCGTGATGCGCACACGACACAGAGGCACGCAGAGGGTGGCCCAGTTCCTCTTTGCTTTCTCCCCGTTCTTGACTTTGTCCGAGAACTCACTGACTTGGTACGTGTTTGCCCAGGTCTCTTTCTGTCCATCAGGACCTGCATTCTCCACGAAAACTCCCACAAGAGGGAGAGGAGGGTGAAAGTGTCTTAGATAGGACCGTGGTCTGTGGCCTCCCGAAGGGTCCCAGGACATCGGCAGACATGCAGTGCAGCGGTGGTGTTAGCATTTCATGGCCGGCGACTGGGAGAGAAATGCCTGCCCAGGCTCCTGGGGGCGGCGGGAAAACGGGTGAGAAGCAGCGGGATGGCGAGTCAGGCTGCACCGTGATCGCTCGGTGCTGAGAGAAGCACTTCCTCAGCTCGTCTGGGCCGTTCCTGCCACGCTGAGGTAGATGCCCGCGGTCTAGCTCAGGGGCTCTGGTCCATCAGGCGAGGGACCGGCCAGCATCACCATGAATTTGGCCTCGTGGGCTGTTCAGTTCAGGGGACCCTGGCCGCACTGCGTCTGGGCTTCCCACTGCAGCCACCCACCAGGCAGTTCTCTGCAGCAATGCGCGGTGTCAAAATCCTAGACGGTTGTCAGCCTCGGTTTAGCCCATTTGTATCCTTTGGAATGTATGTGTTTTAGGAGCCAGTATGGGACCTTCACACTCAGGGCAGGAGGATGGGGTCTTGTTAGCGGATGGGACTTTTGTTTCAGCCCTTTATTTGTTGAGCCACTGGTGTTACCATGTCATGTAGACAGTATTTTTTCCCGTAGTGTTTTACAATGAAAATTTTGAAGATACATAGACGTTGAAAGAATTTTGCCCATCACCTAGTTTCTGTGATTGGCGGTTTCCTGCACCTGTTTTATCACACACCCATCCATCCACCTGTTCGTAGACGAAGGCAGTGTCCAAGTACAGTTTCCTGGGCTGTGCTTCCCGGACTCACTGCGTGTTCTGGAGACGGCTCCCCGCGGCTCCTGGCGCCCACCTCGCCTGTCACCTGTTGCAGGGCTCCAGTCGAAGGGACCACAGTGGAGTCAGCCGGTCTGCAATACGGACCACTTTACTCCCAACATTTTGCATTTGCAAATAACGCCCTGGCGAACACCCTTGGTGCTTACGTGTTTTCCCGTTGCAGGTGGCTGTCGGGTGCATCTGTAGTGGGACTGCCAGGCCCCAGGGGCAGAGCTGTGCAGCTGCTGGGTGGGCCAGGCCCGCCGCTCCCATCCCGCTCAGCGGTCCAGCGCCTCACCCAGAGTGTTGTCCAGCTTCCGACTTCCTGTCAGCCTGATAGATGAGAAGTGCTGTTTCAGCTGAGTTTTAATTTGCATTTCTTTTATTACGAGTGATGAATTTACAAGTAGATGTGCTTGAAAAATTCAGCTTCAAGTCTTCTCTGGGGGTTCCACTGGCTTACTGTTTGTTTGTTTGTCACAGAAATCCCATTTTATAAACACAGGCTGGGAGTGAATGGACTCAGACATGGAGTTGGTTACTTGTGAGCAGCCTTGAGACATGCTCAGAGCGGTTTGATGGATTGTGATCTGAGTCAGGAAGGCCAAGCCTAGTCCTGGTTTTTGCAGCCGACATCTCTGTGACCTGATCCTCGGCCTCCTCCTGGGCGGCACTGCCCTTGAAATCATGAGCTGAACGGATCCGATCTAGCTGGTTCTGGTGGACTTGAAAGTTAGGACAGCCAGTAGAATAAAATGTGTGTTGCCATTGGTGGTGGCTTTGCTCTGCATGGGGTACCTCTACCACATTTTTGGGAAATGTTATTTAGATAAGCAGTGATTTGATTCCCGGTCAGGCACCTGCTTGCATTGTGGGCTCAGTCCCCAGTGTGGGGCTGTGCAGGAGGCAGCCAATCACGTTTCTCTCTCTCAAAATCAAATAAAAAATCTTTAAAAAAAAAATGAAAAAAAATGAAGATCCCAAACTCGTATTGAAAACAATGGCATAGCTAAGAGTTCCCTCACGCTGTGCCCACCCCCGGTGCCCACCACATTGCCGGGCTTTCTGCTTGGAGGGCAGTGGTGGGAGTGAGGCTGTTGCTGGCTGTGGTCCCGACTTCCTACTTCGATGCGCTGGCTGCTGCGTGCCCATGACCTTGAGACTGTCTTCGGAGACAGCCGTCAGGACGTCAGTGCCTTCTCTGAGGGTGACACTGAGTTTTATGTTTTCTCAGCCTTTACGTGTGTAACTGTCATCCGTAGCTTCTGATTTCACACAGATGTGTGTGCCAGCAGGGTGTGGAGCGGTGAGATCATTCATACGTATGTGCGTTGCACCTCTGTCCGTTTTTTAACTTTTCCCTTGTGCGTTTCCTCTGACAAGCAGTGGTGCATGAACATGAAGTGGTGTTTCTGCTGGTCTCGGGGAGGGGAGTTGGCAGCACCGCACACAGGAAGCTGGTGTGTCCGTTAGCTCCGAGGACTTGCCGTGTGGAAAGGAGCCGTGTTTGAGCCCATGACCCCGCACTGTCGGGACAGGTGGCCTGGAGTGCAGTTGTCCTGTTCCCACTGGAACCCTGGGCTCTAGCCGTGTCTGACTTGGGAACATGGTCCCTTCTTAGCTCAGAGTTTCCCGCTCCGCCCTCGGGTGGCCCCGTCCTGAAGGCTGAGCTTTCTCAGGGGCCCCTTCCACTCTCCCCCCCGCTCTCTAGTCATCGGCACTGAGGAGTTGGGGGCTGGGAGCCCTTGGGGAGAGCCCAGGACATGATGGCCTCTCCGGCTGCTCCCTGTCTCCCTGTAGATTTCCTCTTGGCAGCCCTCCCTGCTCTCACAGAGGATGCTCGGTGTGAGCGCCGTCAGGGTTTGGCCTGGCTCCTGTGTTGGGGCTTGATTAACAGTGTAGCTGTGAGGTAGCTCAGGTGTCACGGAACTGCTGTCTGGTGAGGGATTTGGCTGCGGTTTTGGTGCTGAGGGGTTGTGTGTACAGCCCATCCCTGCACCGTCCCCAGCACGTTGGAGCACAGAAAGGCCCTGAGCTGGGAGACGCGTCTGGGAAGAATCCACTGGTCACAGACCAGCATTGAGGTCACATCCTGCTTGGCCTTGAGCAGGTGATGCTTGTGACCGTCCAGCAGCTGGTTGGTATCCCCCACCTCGTGCCAGGCTGTGAGGGACCAGTCCCTCCTGTGTGTTGAAGGAGACCTTCTGTAGTGTCCACGGCTCCACGTGAATTAAGACTGTCCTTTGCACCAGCTGCCGGTGGGACAGACAGTCACATGTCTCCAGTGCTGCTGACCAGGCTCGTAATAAGGGGTGATCAGACGGTGATATTTGCCTTGAAGTAACTTGATTTCAACTTTGATTTTTCAGGAGAACATTAAGTTGGATAAAAAGGGGGGCGATAATGCACCACGGCAGCGGCCCTCCGAATGTCCAGCACCAGCTGCAGAGGTCCCGGGCCTTCCCCAGCAGCGAAGAAGAGCAGCAGGCCCACCCAAACCCACCCCCATCCCCCGCCACGCCTTTCGCACCCTCGGCCAGCCCATCCGCACCCCAGTCGCCCGGGTACCAGGTTCAGCAGCTCATGAGCAGGAGTCCCGTGGCCGGGCCGAACGTGAACCTCGCCCTGCAGAACGTGGGGCCAGTGGTGGCAGGAAACCCCCCGCTCACGCTGGCCCCGCTGCCACTCCCCAGCCCCACCTCTCCGGGCTTCCAGTTCAGTGCCCAGCCGAGGCGCTTTGAGCACGGATCGCCGTCCTACATCCAGGTCACCTCACCACTGTCCCAGCAGGTGCAGACCCAGAGCCCCACCCAGCCCAGCCCTGGGCCGGGGCCAGGCTTACAGAATGTGCGGGCAGGCGCACCCGGGCCTGGCCTGGGCCTGTGCAGCAGCAGCCCCACCGGGGGCTTCGTGGATGCCAGTGTGCTGGTGAGGCAGATCAGCTTGAGCCCGTCCACGGGTGGGCACTTCGTGTTCCAGGAGGGCTCGGGCCTCGCCCAGATGGCCCAGGGAGCCCCAGTCCCGCTGCAGCACACAGGGACTCCCATTGCAATGCGAGAACGGAGACTGTCCCAGCCCCACGGGCAGCCGGGGGGGACTGTGCACCACCTGGGACCCCAGAGCCCCGCGGCCTCGGGCGGAGCTGGCCTGCCGCCCTTGGCCAGCCCCGGCCACATCACCACCGCCAGCCTGCCGCCCCAGATCAGCAGCATCATCCAGGGGCAGCTGGTCCAGCAGCAGCAGCAGCAGCAGCAGCAGCAGGTGCTGCAGGGGCCACCATTGACCCGGCCTCTGCTGCCCGGGGTTGGGGGGGCTTCGGCGTTCGGGATGACATCCCCGCCGCCCCCCAGCAGCCCTTCCAGAACCTCGGTGCCCCCGGGCCTCTCCAGCCTTCCCCTCTCGTGCTCGGGGAGCAGGAAGACACCCAAGAAGCTGGAGGAGATCCCCCCAGCCTCCCCAGAGCTGGCCCAGATGCGGAAGCAATGCCTGGACTCTCACCTCCGGGAGATGGAGGCTTTGAGGGAGGCCTTCAAGGAGTACCTGATTGAGCTGTTCTTCCTGCAACACCTGCAAGGGAACATGATGGATTTCCTGGCTTTCAAGAAGAAGCACTACGCCCCGTTACAAGCTTATCTTAGGCAGAACGATCTGGACCTGGAGGAGGAGGAGGAAGAGGAAGAGGAGGAGGAAGAAAAGTCTGAGGTTATCAATGATGAGGTGAGAAACAGCAGTTTAATCATTAGAGGACTGCGCTGCGCAGGTGTGAGTCTAGGCAGCTGTGAACACAAAAGAACCTGTGAGCCCGGGGTGCTCCTCAGACGCGGTTTCATAAGGATTTGACCCAGGAGTAACGTGGAAGGTGGATTTTGCTGTTTTCTTCGCAGGAGGGAAGAGCTGCCCTAATAGTTGGGGGGCAGGGGCAGACCAGGTGCCTTCATTGAGAGCAGAGACTCCGCTCCGGAGGGAGAGCTGGCCTGTGGGCTGCAGCCTGTGCCCCTGGCCTGTGGGGGGTGCGCACCTTGGGCTGGTTCCCAGTTTTCACATTTTACTGAAATAGGTCCCCCCATTGAATCATCATGAATGTGGATTTTAAACAAGGGGTTTAACTATAAATAAATGTAAATATTGATGTGGTATTTTCATGATTAAAATAGTTATTATGGCAAAAACCAATTTTTAGGTGTAGTCTTAGCTTTGAGATCATATTTTAAATTCACTTTTATAAATACCTATGAATGATATTTAAGATGGCATCTTTTTTTAAACTGAAAATTTTGGGTGCCTGGAATGGGTGCTTAATAAATGCCCGAATTGAGATTTCTTGATACCATTGTGATTCCAACCCATTTGTCTGCACTTCCTGAAAAAAGCTGATCACAGCAGCGAGCGTGAGGTGGCTGTCGTGCACTGTACGTGTGCCTTTGTGTTGTGTAGTGTACGATGTTGGTGCAGCTGACTTTGTTCTAGGAGACGGCTGAATACCTGAGTCTTTGTCACTCTTCTGCAAAGAAATCGGCCTTTGGTGAGCAAAACTGGTCTCTTTGCTCAGTCGTCCTCATCGACATTTATGGGCGTATCTGTGTGGCTTTGCCATTTTGTGTTTTCTTTAACACCCTTTCCAGGATGGACCATTTTTATTTTCCAAATGGTTACCTGATTATTTTGAGGATTTCACCTCTGAAATAGTGAAATTCCGTTATCTTTATGTTTGTACACCAGTGTTGTCTGAAGGTCAGTGCCCTTATCTGTGCTTATGAAAAGAAAGTCCCTTTTTATAACTTCCTGTTGAACTAGACCCTCCATCCTGACCCCCACGTGGTGGCTGATGGAGTGGCCGCTGTGCAGACTGCCGGAGGTGGTCGGCTTTGTTACTGGACCGCCTGCCGTCCCCACTCCAGAGTATGCAGTTGTGCAACCAAGAGATTGCACCTGTGACTCAAATTGGAGTACCTGCAAGATTTGCAGCTGAGTTAGGTTGCTATGTTATACATCTGTCATAAATTAGTTCATTGTCCTTTTGCAGAATTTGATGCAAAAACATTCCATTTTTAAACAGCAAACATCAGTGAGCTGTCAGCAGTAAAATTCTAACACAATTTTGAGCAGTCTTAAAAATCATGTTGCCTTTTTTTCTCAAAATATTTCCTCTCAGGTAAAGGTTGTGACAGGAAAGGATGGGCAGACTGGTACTCCCGTTGCTATAGCAACCCAGCTTCCGCCAAATGTTTCTGCTGCTTTTTCATCCCAGCAGCAACCATTTCAGGTACTTGTCAATGGTTCTCAAATGTAGCCTCATCCCAAACTTTCCCTTCATCCAGGCATTTTAACCTTCAATTACTATTTGCTCTTAGCATTTTTTCCAGAGCCCATCCCTTATTTTAAGAAAATAAAGAAGTCTTCCTGCATATAGAGCTATAAAATTAAGTTGCATGAGTGAACGACAATCCAGAGCTAATGCACTTTTTTGTGTTGACCTGTGCTGCAGTCGTAGCTGTAGTGTGCATGTCCTCTAATCCTCAGCCTGTCCGTGTGCCAGGATCCTCGTGTGCTCTGTCTCCTGTGGGCTCTCTCTGTGTCTTCTCTCTGTATTTTTGAGAACAGTGCCAAACAGAAACAAGAAAAGAAAGATTTAAGCAGACGATACCTTGATATTTTCTCAGCTGGAAGAAACACTGAGGTGAAAGCTCCGAAATCAGGGCCTCGGGCTTCTAAATGGCTGTTAGTGAATGCAAACTGATTATTTACAATTTTTGGAAATTAAGTTACTCAGTGTTCCAGTAACAGTGCTAAGGATCTAAAAGTATAGGTCTGATTCTAGTAGTTTTGGAATGGATTGTGCTGGGTTCTGAAAGCAGTTTCATCTTTGTGGTGATAAGTTTTTTAAAACAATTTTTTTATTTCTCAGCTACAGTTGACATATAATATTATATTACTTTCGGGTGTATAACAGTGATTAGACCCTTGTGTAACCTACAAAGAGATCAACCATACATCTAATACCCATCTGGTACACCATACATAGTTATTTTAATATTTTAATTTTGATATAATTTCAAACGTAGGTAGAAGTTGCTGTAACAGTACAGAGAGCCCCCCTGATAGTCCTCACCACATTCACCAGGGGTTACCTGTTGGCCCCGTTTGCATTACTTTCATTCTCTCTCTCATATTTGCACACACATCTCCCCCTGAACTAACTGACAGGAAGTTGCAGACATCCCCTCATGCCCTTTATCCCTACGTACTTCCGCACGTGCTGGGTGACCTTCAGATCACATGTTGCAGTGACGCTGTACGGTGGCGAGGCCGCAGCTCAGGCAGATGTCTCCTCTCCGGATGATGTCGTCTAGCGTTTCCCTCGGTCTGGGACCTTTGGTCTTCCTTCCTCTGGGCCGGCCCCTCGGTCTCTCGGGACCTTGGCATTTTTGAGAAGGAGAGCCATTTATTCTGTAGTGTGTCCTTTGATGTGGGCTTGTCGGATGTTTCTGGTGTCTGATGCGGGTCATGCAGTTTTGAGGGGATACCACGGAGTGACGCTGTGTGCAGCTCAGTGTGCCACGTGAGAAAGCCGTGACGTCACTGTCCTTCACTGGTCCCTGAGGCTTTTCCAGTGGAAAAGCTTTTCTTTGGGTGATTGATAAGTAATTTGGGGAAGATAGTTCAAGACCATATGAATATCTAGGATCTCATTAAACATTCGGCCACTGATTCTAGCCTCTGTTGCATCTACTGACGAGTCCTGCCAGACGCAGCTGTCACCTTACAGATTGCAGAATGGACTTGCTAATTCCATTATTCCTTTTACGTTCGTTAGTTGGCACTCTGCTGTAATGACACACTTTCTTTTCAGTTGATGTATTTTATATGTGGATTCTTCCATCAGTGGGTTATAACATGTCACTGACGATTTATTTGTTCATTTGCACTTATTAACTCAGTAGAATTGACACTTTTTGGTCTGTAGTTCCATGAGTTTTGACAAACACAGGAAGCTGTGTAATGACCATTACAGTCAAGAACAGGAATTGTGTCATCCCCCAGGGTGCTCCCTCGCGTGTCTCTGTGGTCGAGCCTCGCCCTGCCTTACCCGTTGTCTGCACCGCTGTGATTTCGCCTTTTCCAGATGAGGTATTGGTGGAGTCACACTGGCTGCTTGCAGTTGGCACAGCACACGGGAGAGCCACCCACGTGGTTGCGTATTTCTGTTGCGCTGAGTGATAAAATTAGGGGTAAAGTTGCAGTGAATGTCCACAGACTGTTTTTCATGTGAACATAGGCCTTCAGTTGGGTAAATCCCTGGGGGACAGATTGCTGGGTTGTTTGGTAAGGGTATGTATGTTCAACTCCATAACAGACTGCCCACCTTTTCCACAGCGGTGGTACCATTCCTCACCCCAGGTGGCAACTTTGTTCTTTTTTAAAATCTTTCTCTTTTTTTGATATCTACACAACATCCTACCAGGGTTTTGACTGAGATTACATTGAGTTCGTTGATCAGTTTGTTGAGAAGTAATGTCTTGACAATATTGCATCTTCCAGTTCAGGAATATGGTACATCTCTCCATGTGTTGTGGCCTTCTTTGTCTTCTTTCTTCAGTGTTTTGTAGTGTTCAGCATCCCAATTCCATATGTGTTTTGTTATATTTATACCCCAGTATTCCTGTTTCTCTGTGGAATTGTAACTGGTAGTTATATCTTTAAAATGTTGTTGTTCATTGCAAGTACAGAGTGTCTCAAAAAAATGTGTACACACTTGAACAGCTGATAGCTCAAGTTTGGGAGTTAAATGTATTTTAATAAACGCTGCCTTTGTAATTATTCAAAGTGTGTGTATACGTTTTTTTGTTTTTTGGGGGGGGGCACATTCTGTATATAAGAATACAGTTTATTATTTGAACCTGTATTCTGGAACTTTGCTAAACTCATTTATTCATTTCAGGAGCTTTTTTGGTGGATTCTGTAATATATTCAACAGAGAGAATCATGTCTGCAAAGAAAGCAGGACTTACTTTTTCTTTTCCTATCTATACGTTTACTTCTTTTTCTTGCCTTATTGCATTGGCAAAACCAGAATAGGAGCGGTGAGAACAGACATTCTTCCCTTCTTCCCAGTCTTAGCGGGAAAGCATTTAGTCTTTCACCGTTGGGTCTGATGTTAGCTGTAGATGTTGTAGGTGTCCTTTATCAGGTTAAGGAAATTCCTCTAATTACACTATTTATCATGAATGGATGTTGAATTTTGTCAAATGCAATTTCTGCGTCTTGTGATGTTTTTCTTCTTTGGTCTATAAATATGGTGAATTATGGGTATTGAGGCATAGTTTATAAGCGGGGAGTGGACACAACTTAGGTGTGACAAGTGCCCGTGTAACCCACATGCCTTTCAAGATGTCCACTTACATCACATCCCCTTGTGCCCCCTGCTCGGCATTTGCTGCTCAGGCCCCTCCACTGCTCTTGATGCCCAAATTATCTGTAATTTGGCCATTTGGAGCCCCTCTCCAAGCTTCTGACGCCCCTTCTCTGAGACGCTCTCGGAGCACTTCTCCGGTGAGCACTTCCTTTCTGGTACAAGATGCTGAGGCTCGTTGGGCACATCCCTTTCTGCAGCCCAGGACTGTGGCATTGCTCTACGGAGCCTACTTCCTGTTGGTGGAGAAAACTCATTTGAACCCAGTGCTTAGGTGCTGCTTGTGCGTTTGGTACGGTTGAAGATAAGATTTGTTCAATTGGAGACGCTCAGAACTGACTCACGGGCACCGTTACTGCGAGTGCGTAGAGGGGCGTGTGGACGCTCTGGCGGGTGCTTGCATGGAACAGCGGGGCAGTGCACGCAAGGAGGGCCTGCAGGCTGGTGGAGATGATGTGCGGTCTTCACAGCGACTCACTGTCACCTCACCAGGCTGCCGGAAACGACATTGGACAGAATCTGATGTGATGAGGGATTCCCACCACTTCTGATGGGAGCGAGCTGATGGGAGCGAGCGTGGGCAAACCCTTTGACCAGCAGAAGCTCTAAGGTTACTCTCACGTGTGTGCACCAGAAAGCCTTGTCTATAAAAGCCCCAAACTGGAAAGAATGGAAATGCCCACCACCACCAGCAGCGCAGACCAGCGATCGTGCACCCTCGACAGAGGAATGCTTACGTATATTCCAGTCGGCAGAGGGAGTCGGCAGTCACAGCACGGGTGCTGCGAGGGCTGGTCTCTGGGGCAGAGGAAGGGCTTCCAGGAGAAGACAGGTGCAGACTTTCTTCAGGGAAAGCTCACTGGGAAGCAGAGCCAGCAGACGCGGTGTGGCGCTTGCGCTGCAGGTGAGGGCACCGCGGTGGGAAGTGTCCCGATCAGGCAGCGGCACCTGCCTGGGTGGTCAGGGGCTCCCTCACGCTCCGCATCCCCAAGGCACAGTAGCAGGTTGTTTCTTAAGCCTGGTGACGACTCCGTGGGTGGTCCCTGTAATACTGTTTTCAACTATGTGTAAGGTTTTCCACTTTCCTCAACATTTTACTATGAAAGATGTTGAACAGAGAGAAAAGTTTGAGTCTTCAGTCAACCTCCACATTCCACCATTTAAATTCTGATTAACTTTACTATGCTTTAAAAATTGCATACATATGTTAATTTCTTTTGTATATAGGATATCCTATATAATAAAAGCCTAATATGCTAAGTGTTTGGTCAACCGGTTGGCCATTCAACCAATCAAAGCATAATATGCTAATGATATGCTAAGGCTCCTCAGCTCCTCGCTATGATGTGCAGCTGGGGGCAGACGCCCTGACTGGTAGGTTAGCTTGCTGCTGGGGTCTGGCTAATTAGGACTGAGCAAGATGGGCCGGACACGCCCTGGAGCCCTCCCGCGTCCCTCCTCGCCCCGATTGATCGTGCACTGGTAGGGTCCCTCAGCTTGGTCTGTGCCCTCTCGCAATCCGATCAACACAGTGTGTTTACACTTTATTTTATTTAACAAATATTCTCTATATTTTATTTACTTTAAAAAATAATCGTTCTTTTTTTTAACTATATTTTTTTTATTGATTTCAGAGAGGAAGGGAGCAAGAGAGGGAGAAGCATCAATGATGAGAATCATTGATTGGCTGCTTCTTACACTCAAGCCCACAATCAGGCCCTGACCAGGAATTGAACCGTGACCTCCTGGTTCATAAGTCGATGTTCAACCACTGAGCCATACCAGCTGAGCCAGTTTGTATTTTAAAGTCAGCAGTATCATTCCCGATAAAATAATCATGAAGGTAGTGTAAGAAACTAAAGATAGCCCAGCCAGCGTGGCTCACTGGTAGAGCATCAACCTATGAACCAGGAGGTCACACTTCGATTCCTGGTCAGGATACATGCCTGGTTGTGGGCTTGATCCCCAGTGTGGGGCGTGCAGGAGGCAGCCGATCCATGATTCTCTCTCATCATTGATGTTTCTCTCTCCCTTTCCCTTTCTCTCTGAAATCAATACAAATATACATTTTTAAAAAGAAACTAAAGATAGTATTAAAAACTAAAGGTCATCCTGAAACCAGGAGTTGGTGGCAGTGCAGGAGTCGGGAGAGAGGCTGGCCCTTCCCCCAGCGTGTCTGTCAAGAAGTTGTCATTTTCATCCGTTTTCACAGGGATCTCGTCCTCTAACACCATTTTGTTGAAAAGACTTCTTATTCCTTCTGGTTGCTCCCAGCCTGCAGGAAGTGATGTGATGGGCAGTCACTGGGGGCCCCCTGCTGGGCTCCCCACTCAGTTCTGTCCATCTGTCCATCACCCTTGAGCAGCACTGCACTGTCCTAGTGACCGTAGCCCCCAGCGCGTCTCAGGTCCAGGCCTCTGGTCCTCTCGGGACTGTTTCAGTTCACTGCCCCCCCCCCCCCACTCTGCTACCCAGCCTTCCAGTGTGTTTTTTTATTTCAGATATTTTAGTTTTCAGTTTTAGAATCTCCACTTGGTTTTCTGTTTGAATAGTTCCTTTCTTCTGTCCTTCATGACGACATATTTCCTTTGTGTCCTGGGCGCAGTTATTAAAGCCACTGGCAGATCCTCGCTGCCCAGTTCCAGCACGTGGGCCCGCTGTTTGCTGCCCGTCGGTGGTTTTGAGTGTGGCTCATGCTTTCTTGTTTCTTTGTGTCTTGGAGTCGTTGTGACTTGGATTTCGAAGGTGGTGACTGGCCGGTGGCAGCGCGCCGGAGGAGTGCGGTTGCTTTTCTTCCATAGTTAGCCACGGTGATTGAATTGGAGCCGGGCGCTCCGTCTCCCGAGCGTTGGCGCCTGGAACCTTAGTGGGTGCGTGGCATTTGTGTCTGCGTGGTCCGGAGGCAGCAGAGCTGATGGAGAGAGCCTGCCTCTCCTTGTCCAGCCTGGTCCTGTGGCAAGTCCCGTCCTCACTGCTGGCTTCCTGCCCGGCCCCAGTCATCTGCAGGCAGCGTGGCTGGGCTCTGGGCCGAGCCGCGCCGCATGGCACAGACGGGCCCTCATGCTGTGCCGTGGCACCAGAACCCACTCCGGCCCTTTCCCTACGTCCTGCAGGTCCCAGGCCCCTCCCTGAGGCTGTCCCCTGGTCCCCATGTTACGCTTCTTCCGGAGTTTGTGTGTGTTTGGAGTACTTTTGGTCCAGTATGACGTACTTGACACCGAGCATTTCTCACTTTCTTCTATTAAAAATAACAACAACCCTTCTGATAAGTAATACATGTTCATTGTGAAACATTTGGAAAATTTAGAAAGGTGCAAACACACACAGATGATAAATTAATTCCCTGTAATTCTGTCCCCAGAGATAACCACTGTTCATATCACCTGATTTTCAAATCATTCTTTTCTTCTGCCTTCTCTCTCCCTCCCACCCTCTCCTCCCCCATCTTCCTTAAATGTAACCGGGTGCTTACTCTCCCTTTAGTCACTCTGAGCTGTCCTCATGGGAGCTAGTGGCCTGCAGCCTGGCTGGAACCGGCCGTGTCATGTCCACTCCGCGGGCCGCGGGGATCAGCGATGAGCAGTTCTCAGACATCATCCATAGCGTCTTGTGACTTTTGCATTTAAAATGCTTCACTAAGTAGAGTGATCATCATTGAGTCATTAAACAAGATCAGCGATGAGCAGTTCTCAGACATCATCCATAGCGTTTAGCGTCCCTGCATGTTGAGGTGCAGAGTGGAAGGTGCAGGCGCCAGACTGCGCTCTGCCTTGGCCAGCGGCTGTCATTCAGACATTCACAGTGACCACTGTCCACACACCACATAGGTCACGAGGGGCCCACTGTCCACACACCACATAGGTCACGGAGGGCCCACTGTCCACACACCACATAGGTCACGGAGGGCCCACTGTCCACACACCATTGGAAGATCCAAGTCATCGTACTTACTAATTGGGGTTTTAGTGTCGTTTTCCTATAGGAAAACAGTTCCAACCTTTCTTTGCATTATTCAGCTTTGTTTTGGGGGTGAGCGATGACAGGCAGTGTGACTGGCCAGGGAGGCTCAGCTGGGGTCCACCTCAGGCTCCCGCTTCCTGCAGCAGCCCCCCTGCTGCTCTGTGTGCCAACCAGCTCGTGTAGGTTCACACTGACCTGAAGTTTCATTTAAAACCAGAACGATAGGTCTTTTCTAAGTCCTTTTTTTCTTCCAGAGGTAAGTTAGAGCTTTAAATCACTCACAGAAATATACATTGCATATGTATATTTAAATACATTGGGTAGGTAATATTTCATTAAAAAGAAATAAGGTCAATGCTCGGGTAATGATGATAGTTTTAGTCGTTCTTGTACTTAAATGACCCAAATCTGACTCTTCCCCTTTCTTTCCAGCAGCAAGCCCTCGCAGGGACCCTGGTGGCAGGGGCTGGCAGTACGATAGAGACGGACCCCTTTAAGAGGCAGCAGGCGGGACCCCCGGCAGGTATGTCACCGTCACGGCACGACTCAGGTGGCCCCAGGCCAGCGGCTTCGCAGCGGGACTTACAGCTCCGCGGCCACGTGTCTCTAAATTGTGAACGCTGAGGAGCTTGGTGTTGATTAGTTTCTTTCTACTTTGAAAGTTACTTTTTATTTGGGGCGTATTGATGTGCATGTTCACGTGTACCGAAGGGACAGGCTCATCAGTCACGCAGGTGTATTTCGTTTTGATTTTCAAGTGCACTTCTGGGCTTCCTAGTCCTCATGCCATGATTGAATGTAAAACCATCTGCTTTTTCAAGTTGTCATTCATTTTTTCAAACTGAATTTTTTTCTTCGAATTATAAACTTCATACACATTCTATGTAACATTTTTAAACAGTTCAGGTGTCACTTAAGCCTACCTCTGGTTTCCTGCCCACTCCCTAGCCACAGAGGTAGCTGCTGTTAACGCTTGTGAATTTCCACAGACATTCTGTCTGCACACCAGCATTGTGACACCTGTCATTCTGGAAACAATCTATATGTGATCGGATGTACACTGTTGTCTAACATCACGTAGGAGGCGTCTGTCCCATCCATGGGCTTCGTCGTTTGTGCTGGCTGCCATAGTTTCCATTGCACAGGCAGTTCCTTCTTTATGCTTCAGACCCTGGTCAGTGTTCATTTGTTAGTACCATCAACATATTGAACACTAGTCTCACATTTTTTCCTACAAGTTTATCAGTATATCTTTTTTAAAAATATATTTTTATTACTTTCAGAGAGGAAGGGAGAGGGAGAGAGAGAGAAACATCAATGATGAGAGCGACTCATTGATTGGTTGTCTCCTGCACGCCCCACTCTGGAGATCAGGCCGGTAACCCGGGCATGTGCCCTGACCGGGAATCGAACCGTGACCTGGTTCATAAGTCGATGCTCAACCACTGAGCCACGGCGGCCAGATGTCAGTATATCTTAAGGGGAAACTCCTAGAATGAAATAGTGGATCAGAGCGACATGCGCTTAAGTGTTGGAGACAGTCAGTTGCCCTCCAGGGGGTTGGGTCCATTTCTAATCCCATCAGCAACGTCTGGTTCCTTCCCCTGTAGCCTTATGGATCGTCCCTCTGCGAGCCGTGGCTCTCTGCCCCTTGCTCTGTCTGGTCCCATACTTGCCATGTCACCTGTAAGAGCTTCTGACTGTCGAGTCAGCCCGCCTGTGCCCACCGTGTGTGCTGCAGATGTTGTCTCTGAGGATGTTGCTTGATCTTTGCCTTTTCATGATGCTTTTCCTTATATTTGCACATCTTTAATGAAAAGAAATTATATTTATCGATCTTTCACGGCTTTTGGATTTGGGTTCGTGCATAGAAAGGTCTCCCTGTTTAAATATGATAAAAACACACATTTTTTCTACTACGCTTGTGGTTTTATGTTTACATCAAACTGCACCTTTTCTGAAAATTATTCTAGAGCAGTCTAAGCGACCTCGGCTTGAAGTGGGTCACCAAGGGGTAGTTTTCCAGCACCCAGGGGTGAATACAGGAGTTCCTCTCCAGCAGTTAATGCCGACAGTTCAAGGTAAGACCCAGCGTCAGAGCCAGCTCCTGTAGCTCAGGAGGGCATGCAGAGGCCGACAGCCCGCGCAGACTCAGACACGTGCAGTTGAGCTGGCCTGGTTGAAGTGGCTCCTGGACTTGGGGTGTTCTGAGCTGTAGTAGCACAGTGTGAAGACCCCGGAGACTAGTTCTTGTCCCTGTAACGAGCCACACGTGTGCTTGTCCTCAAGCTTCTCTCCAGTTTCCACTCCTGTGTTTCCTCGTTGCTGCCGCCTAGGGACCCCTGTGGTTACTCAGTGCTGCCCTGCTTGATGCTGCCTGGCCAGGCCCAGTGCCTCTGTCCTTTCTGTGTCTCATTGAGAACATTAGATCTGACGTGACTCAGATTTCCCGCCAGTTAAGCCTCCAGACTGCGCGGTCATTCTGCGTGGCGGGTCTGTGACGAGCCCTGGGAGGTGACATCTGACGCCTGGTCATGCTTTCGAGCTCCAGAGTCAGTGCTGGTGGGTCTTTCCTGTCTTGCAGGAGGGATGCCTCCCGCCCCTCAGGCCGCCCAACTGGCCGGACAGAAGCAAAGCCAGCAGCAGTATGACCCGTCCACGGGGCCTCCGGTGCAGAATGCCGCCAGCCTGCACACACCTCCACCGCCGCTGCCCGGCAGGCTGCCCCCGGCCGGCCTCCCCACCGCACCCCTGCCACCCACGCTGCAGTACCCGCCACAGCCGCCGATGGGGGAGCCGCCGACACAGCTGCACGTGGCCACAAAGGCCCAGCAGCCCAACCCCCCGGTCCCCGTGCCCCCTGCCAGCCAGCTCCCTGTGCCCCCGCAGGCCACACAGCCGGCCCTGCTCGCCCCAGTGCCCGGGAAGGCGCAGATGCAGGCCCCTCCGCCGCCGTCCCAGCCGCAGGTACTCTGACCTCGGGCTCTGAGGGGTGGAGGGGACCAGGCAGGTGTGACAGGAGGTCAGCCAGCCAGCATCTGAGACATGGTGTGTGTGTAAAATAAGGACTGCTTGTAGCCGAGTTGTCACTGTTGAATTATCAGGAAAAAATGGTTCTGATTGCTGTGCTCAGAGCAGAGAGCCGTGCGAAGGGCCTTGTAGCCACTGTGCCACTTGATGTGCCCCGTAAGGCAGAGGCTGGGGGCAGGCGCCGGGTGCCTGTGGTGGAGGTGAGGCTGGGAGTGGCGAGGCTGCTCCTAACCATCGGCCAAGCCCCCCGGGGGCCCCCACGCTCTGCCCTCTGCAACAGTGTCCAGGGGTGGTTCTTCACCGGGACCCAGTGACACAATGAACATGCTAAAGACACAGGAGAGAGGCTGGGGAAGGAAAGGTGTGCGATGGACCGCACGGACAAGCACAGCTTGTAGTGGTCTTAGGTGACAGGGCTGTAGACGGGGCTCAGTTTGTGTGGTGGTTTGTGTGATCGTGGGTTCGTTTGTGTTGCTGTGGGGAGGGACCATGGCGTGCCTTCACCTGTCGCCTCTTTTCTGCCCACCAGACGGTGGCCTCCGCGAGACCACCCACAGACCCCGCCCAGCCCAGTCCTCGGCCCCCGCCCCCCTCCTCCACCTCGTCCATCGCTCCCGGCAGTGGCTCCGGCCCGGGGGCCTCGCCAGCACGGGCCTCCCCGGTGAACAGACCCTCCTCAGCAGCCAGCAAGTCTCTGTCTCCAGTCACCTCCCGGTCCCCAGGGGCAGCTGTGTCAGCCCCCCCAAAACCACAGAGCCCAGCTCAGAACGCGGCTGCACCCCAAGACGGTTCTCAGGACAAGCTGGCAGAGCAGATGGCACTGGTGAGGGGCTGGTGCCTTCCGTCTGGTGACACGCGGCTGCACTCACGCTGGGAAGCAGCGTTTGTAGCTGCACGCCTGGCATGAGGGCGGTTGGCCAGCTCTGTGGTCAGAGACCCACGATGGAAGCCAGTCATGCGACCCTGTCCTGGGGGAGGGGGTCTCGTGTGGTCTTTTCTGTGCTGAAGTCAGTGGTCTGGGCTGCTGTCCTCGCAGGCTGTGGATGAGGGGCCGGGACAGGGCGGGTATCGTGAGGGGGGACAGTGCAGGGCCCCAGGTCGGTGAGGGTCATGGTCAGCCAGTGGTTTCTGCTGTTCCTCAGATGGAGCGGTTGTCTGTTCAACTTCATTTAAAGGAATTAAAAGAAACAAAGCAAAATGGGGTGGGCTCGGATCTAACCCCGTGACGTGTGGCCAGTCTTCTCAGTGGGTCAGTGCAGACGCCAGGCCTCTGGTTCCCTGGTGCAGAGCGCGGGCCTGACGTGTTCTGAGGCTCCACTCCGTCACCTGCCCGTTCTTCCAGCTTTGGGTCCAAGTCTTACCTTTGCTGCTGAGACTGCCACAGAGTCAGTCTCACCTGTGGGAATGAAGTTAATGATTATGTGCTCCCCCTCCCCGCAGGAAAACCAGATCCATCAGCGGATAGCCGAGCTGAGGAAGGAAGGCCTGTGGTCCCTGAGGCGGCTGCCCAAGCTGCAGGAGGCCCCGCGCCCCCGTGCACACTGGGACTACCTGCTGGAGGAGATGCAGTGGATGGCCACCGACTTCGCCCAGGAGCGGCGGTGGAAGGTGGCTGCTGCCAAGAAGGTGGGTGAGCTGGGCCCTGGGTTGTCCATTCACTTGGGGAAGGAAGTAGTGAGCCTGGGTCTCCCCACCCAGCGCCGACGGCCCGCAGAGCACGCGGCTGCATCTCGGAGACAGCGTGGTCCTGGGCTGAGAACACGGGAGGAGCTTCGTGTCGCCCTGGCCAGGGTCCCGGTTGGTTGGCGCACCGCCCGTGCGCTGGAGGGTGCAGGTTGGCTCCTCAGTCGCGCGCAGGAGACAACCGATGGATGTTTCTCCTCTCCTTCTCCCTCTGCCTTCCTCACTCTGAAATCATTGTTTCTTTTAAATGAAGCTTTAAAAAAAAGAAACCCGTGTCCTTTTTGTCGCGTGACAGACTAAAACACGAAACCCTTAAACTTTCCCTGCCAGCTCGTCAGGACGGTGGTGCGTCATCACGAGGAGAAGAAGCTGCGAGAGGAAAGGGGCCGGAGAGAGGAGCAGAGCCGGCTCAGGCGCATCGCCGCCTCGGCTGCCAGGGAGATAGAGTATTTCTGGTCCAATATCGAACAGGTAAACCTGACTCTTTAATGGGGCCCGAGACCTAGACTGCTGGGGCTGGCAAGGCAGAGCCGCAGTGTCACTGGGGAGGGTGCGTGAGGGTGGGTCCCGCCAGCATAGCCCTCGGACTGCAGCTCCTTAGAAGGAAGGTTCTTGCTCTGCCTGTGGCTGTGCGTGGACACGTGGACACGCATGGCTGCTGCTGGTGCTGCATGAAGTCCATTGTCCCCGAGAGGCCTGCACGCGGCTCCTCGGAGGTGGGCAGTCGCCAAGGAGCTGCTCTCCGGAACGGCAGCGCTTGCTCCACTCCCTTTAGAAAGCGTTCTGAGCTCAGCACCTGACGGGACTGGGCAGATGCAGTTCGCTGCAGATCAGGGCGAGCCAGCCGTGTGCTTGCAGACCCGTGTGTGAGTGTCTCCGTTGCTGAACATTCCGGAGCCGGTTAACTTACATCCTCGGACACGTGCTTGTGTTTAACTCTTGTATTCAGGTTGTGGAAATCAAACTACAAGTCGAATTAGCGGAGAAGAGGAAGAAGGCCTTGCATTTACAGAAAGTTTCCAGGAAAGGTATGGTCCTTGGTAAAGCCTTCCCTCTTGCGGACCGTATTCTGCCCCAGTCCTGTGCTCGTCGGCACCTGGCGACAAGGTGGCTTCCCAGGAGGCTGCTGCTCCGACCCTGCGCGAGCTTGTGGCGCCTGGTGATCACCTTGCTCGAGGGGCAGCCGCTCTGGCCGCATGTTCCCATTCTTTTGAGATTGGCTGGTTGAGTCCGAACCCCAGGCTGACCAGCTTTGGGGCTCTCACTCTCAGTTGAGGTCTGAGCCTGTCCCCTTTGGCCAGTCCCTGGGCAGGGAGGTGGACTCCCTGAGGTGTGTGGCCCTGGGCCCCTGTGTGTGGCCAGTGCACTGCCTCACTGCACTGCAGGGCAGGGCAGGGCGGGGTGGGGTGGGTGGGACACTGTGACTTCCATTTTCCTGGTGTGGAAACGGGGGAGAGGTGGCCACTGCTGAGGTCACAGCTGTGCGACCAGACGGGGCAGAAGAAAGGAGCTTTGCTGGTAGCTCCTGTCCCTCTCCTGGGTTCCTGCCGAGGTCTCAGCGCTGAGGGCTGGGAGCTGCCTGGGCACCTGGTGAGGGTGGCAGGGGGCTGGCTCTGCATTGTCCCCAGGTCACCAGGAGGGGGGGCACTCGCTGGGATGTCTCCTCAGCGGGGTGTCAGGAGGGCGTGGCCTAGACAGGCAGAGACGCCCTTGACGTGGGTGGAGAACACGGTCACAGCCCCTGTCTCTCTAGGAAAGGAGCCGAGACCCAAGGGCCCCGAGGTGCTGCTGGAAAGTGTTCTGGTGAGTCCGGCTGTCCCTGCACCGGTGGGCGGGGAGCGTGTGGAGCCCCCTGCTTCTGTCCGGAGAGACGTGGAGATTACACGCGTCACTCCCTTTCATTGTGAAGTCAGGCTACCTGGGGAAGAAACGGGTCTCTGTAGCGGTGGGTTCACGGGGGCGTTGACTGTGATTTGGATGAGGTGCAGCACACATGTGGACTTAGCCACACCCAGGCCTGTCCTGTGACCGCGGCCTGGGGGCGGCATGCTTGTCACAGGGCCACGGTGCCCTGAGGTGCACGCCCAACACAGTCCTGATTTGGTTTCCATGCTGGGCTTTAAGATCACATGTTGGCAATTTTTATCCTGACTCAGGACCCGGGAGCAGCTGGCAGGAAACGGAAAGCGAGCACGACCCTCACTGATGACGAAGGTCTGTCCCCATGAACTCACAAGCAGGGTGCCCATTTGTTGCAACCATGACCCAGAGCCACTGGGGTTGTCGCCAGCCAGGTGCCTCGGTGGGCAGTGGGCTTTGTGGGGAAGACACGAGGCGCTGGCCTGTGGAGCGGGGAGAGCCTAGGACTGAGGGCGAGTTCTGTTCGTAAGGGAGGAGATACGATCAGTGCTGATGGGAAGGAGCCGGCCAGGGGCAGAGGTGTGGTCTGTCTGGCAAGGCCGCCCGGTGGTGAGGCTTGTGCCAGGGGAGACGGCTGCAGACGCTGCATTCTGCTGCGGCGCTGGTCGACGCTTCTGCACCAGGGCCAGGGCTCTGTGGGAGGGAGGCACGGGGGCAGGGCCGAGGTTGCTTTGAGGCAGTGGCTGCACAGCACAGGAGCCCGGTAGGTGAGCTGGTCTGCTGGGCAGTGGCTGGGGTTGTGGACGTGGGCGATGGCTCATGGACTGGCTGCAGCGGGCTCAGCAGTGGGTGGTTCCCTCCCTCGCTCTGGCCTGAGTGGGTTCGTCGTGTAGCAGCAGCCAGGCTGCGTCCACTGAGGTGGGAGGCCAGTGTGGCCAGCCTCCAGCCTTCCCTGCGGCACGAGAGGCTGCGTGTGGAGCCGGTGGAGCTGCGTCGTGCTTGGTGCGTGCTGCCCGTCTCGCTGACATTCGCTCTGACGTCACCGTTGCAGTGGAAGACGAGGAGACGATTGCAGAGGAGGAGGCGAACGAAGGGGCCGTGGACCACCAGTCAGAGCTGTCTAACCTCGCCAAGGAAGGTAGGCTGGGCCTCCTGCCAGCGTGCCGTGAGCACCGAGTCAGGACAGGAAGCTAAAAGTCTGTGCCAGGCAGAACAGCACCCGGCGTCGAGCTCCCTGGGATCAGCCACGCTGCTGAGCGTAGGGTGCCGAGTGCCGCCCCCTCCCCGCGTCCGTCTCCCTCTCCCCGGGTCCCGCCGGGATGCCTTCTGGGTCTTGGGTCTGTCACTCCTGCAGCTCTGTCCCCGCACCCGTGCCCTCCCTGAGCACACTGCTCCCTTCCCAGCGTCGGAGCCTCACGTGAACGTCCTGCTGTAGGTTCGCCCACTTGCCTTTCCTCTCAGCTCTTCTGCTGCCAAGTTTCATTCACGTTGTCATTTGCTGTGTAAACACTGGTTCTCACTGCGCAGTAGCCACGCGCACCTGTCTGCCCAGACGGTCTGCCGGGCAGTGGGTGGGCCCCGGGTACCTGCGCTCCTAGTGGAGGAGCGGGCTGGGGGGCGTGTGCGCCTGGCAGCCTGGTGAAGTTGTGCTGAGTTTGGGTAGAATGATGGCCGCCAGCTGCCCATCTCGGGTGCACTGGTGTCTGACTGCAGCCTTTCTGCCCGTCGGGGTGAGAAACGGCGTCTCTTCCTGGGCTCCTGCCTGTCTTCCTGACCTGGTTCTGGGTTTCCTTTTCCGTGTTGACTTGTAGGTGATCCTTGTGTGTCCTGGACATCAGTTCTTCGTCAGTTTTACGTGTTTTCATTCTCCTTGTGGTAACGTGATGCACAAGTGTTCTTGATGTTAGTGCAGTCGCATTGGCCAACCTGGTTTATTTAAAAAACACACACAACACTCTCTGTAGCTCACAAGATGCCTCCTGTGTCGGCGAACACTCCTTGTTCTTACGCTCATGTGCATGTCTCTGACGGGGAAGTAACCCCCTTCTCCTGTGCCCTCCCAGCTGAGCTGCCCCTCATCGACCTGATGAAGCTGTATGAAGGGGCCTTTCTGCCGAGCTTCCAGTGGCCCCAGCCTCAGCCCGGCGGCGAGGAGACGAGTGAGGAAGAAGGTCTGTCCCGCGCCTGCAGGGGGTTCGGCTTTCAAACAGCGACTCGCAGAGCAGGGGTCGGACAGAGCGGACACCCTTTGGAGTGACGTGTGATTCTGTATTGAGTAGCGTTTCATTGAATTCTGTGCTGCTTTTTTGTTGTTTATAAACTTGGCACAGTCATGAGAGCACTTAGTCAGGTTGTGAGCAGTTCATTTTCTCCAGGTTTAGGAAAGTCGTCATTTTATGGACCTAGATTTTCATCGCATCTATTCAGGCTGTGCTGTTTAACACGCCTGCTTTAAGGAGTTCATTTTACTTTTATTAGACATTCCAAACATGCGCAGACGACACCAGGAACCCTGCTTTCCTGCTGTCGCTCTGCTTGTTCTGATCATTAGACACAGTGCCTGGGAGTGGGAGAGGCCGCTGTCAGGACCCTGTTGCAGCAGGACCAGGGAGGCCCTGGCGGCCCTCACTTGACTGGCCTTGGAGATGCTGGTAGTCTTTCCCTTCTTGGTGGTGGAGGGAGTCAGGGACCCAGTAGGTGCCCATACAGCCACCTGTGGGGACAGCAGCTGCATTGCTGCGGAGGCCTCTCCAGGTTCACCTGAGGGCTTTCCAGAGTGGGCCGAGGCTGATAGTTTCGTAAGAGTTTTCTCTGTTTAACCAGAGCGCACTCTTAGGTATGTAAAGTGGATCAAAGTTCAAAAAATGGGTGCTTTCTTCTGTATTTGGATTCTGTCAGTTTTTTTAATGTTAAATAGGCTCATGAAACTATGAAGGCTGCTGCAAACCCCACCTTTCCATTGCTCGCAGAGGTGGAAGACGGCCCCGGCGACCAGGAGGGCCGCAGGGACGTGGTGCTCATAGACTCGCTGTTCATCATGGACCAGTTCAAAGCCGCCGAGAGAATGGGTGTCGGGAAGCCTCACACAAAGGACATCGCGGAAGTGACCGCCATGGCTGAAGCCATCCTGCCCAAGGGCAGCGCTCGATTCAGCACCACGGTGAGCGCCCGGCGGGAGGGACGGAGAGGCTTCCTGCTCCCACGGAGCACTTGCCCCAGCTGCACACGTGACCGGGAAGGTGAACTCTGACCCTTGTCCTGTTGCCTGGAGGCTTTCTGTAGCTTCCCATGCGCAGCGTGAGGTCAGTCTGGAGACAGGGCTCCGGTCACCTGAGGCAGCGCTCACGGTCTGTCCCTGCAGGTGAAGCTGACTGCCCCGCCCCTGCTGCACGGCACGCTCAGGGAGTACCAGGCGATCGGCCTGGACTGGCTGGCCAAGCTCTACCGGAAGAACCTCAATGGCATCCTGGCGGACGATGCCGGGCTGGGGAAGACCGTGCAGATCATCGCCTTCTTTGCCCACCTCGCCTGCAACGAAGGTAGGCGCGCGGGGACAGCAGGTGCCGCCGAGCCTGGCGTGTGGGCCAGGGTCTGGCTGAGCGAGGGTCGGGAGTGCCTGTTTTCTCGGCTCCTCGTGTGGTGCTTTCTCGTGGGGGTGGGGGCACCTCGCGTCTGATCAGCCTTGGCCATCGGATGGGTGAGACATCTTTCCCAGCCTGTCCTTTCCGCCTCTCGCTCTGTGTGGCTCCATTTCTAACAGTCTGGTGTGTGTGATTCTGATCATTTGAGGATGCTCATTTTTTTAGAGGAATGAGCTGAAACCACCTATTTGGGATGGTTTGGGCGTGTGTGTTGGCGAGAGGTTGGGAGCCTCCACGTGAGTTGGTGTGGTGCTGTGGGAGTACCCACCGGGGAGGGGACAGGCCTTGGGCTCCGAGGGCTGCGGGCTGCTGACTGCTTTTCCTGAGCGTTGTTCCTTGTCAGCGGGGGTTCCTTCCCGTGCTCATGGGGTTGGCCATGTTTCTGAGTAAGCATTCCTTTTATTGGGTGATTGATTACTCATCCAGCCACTCCTGGCTGAGCGCCTCCTGAGAGTCAGGCCTGCCCCTGCGGCTGCTGGGAGTGGGGACGGAGGCGCCGTCCCAGTCCAGGAGCCGTGGTGGGAGGACGCCCCTGCACCCGCTGGACGGCTGCTTCAGTCCCGCTCGGGGACGTCTCCACAGCGCGTGCTGGTGCCTGGGCCTGGCGAGGACAGTGTGGCTGAGCGGACAGCTGTGTCCCCTCCCTCCGCAGGCAACTGGGGCCCTCACCTGGTCGTCGTGAGGAGCTATAACATCCTCAAGTGGGAGCTCGAGCTGAAGCGCTGGTGTCCTGGGCTCAAGACCCTCGTATATGTTGGCAGCCACCGAGAACTCAAAGCAAAGAGACAGGTACTTCAGCTCCACTGAGAACTCAGAGCAGAGACAGGTATTTCAGTTCCACCGAGAACTCAAAGCAAAGAGACAGGTACTTCAGCTCCAGCGTGAAACAAAGCCAGACAAGAAACCATCTTAGTTAGTACAAGACACGTCAAAGCAAAGAGACAGGTACTTCAGCTCCACTGAGAACTCAAAGCAAAGAGACAGGTACTTCAGCTCCAGCGTGAAACAAAGCCAGACAAGAAACCATCTTAGTTAGTACAAGACACGTTTCAAAATGTGCTTATTAGTGTAAGTACTGTGAGACAGACACCGCCTTCAGGTCATTTTAGACCTGCAGTTCCCCAAAAGCATCGACCACCCTGCACGGAGGGCCCGGGTGTACACGCCTCACGGAGGGCCCGGGTGTACACGCCTCACGGAGGGCCCGAGTTTACACGCCTCGAATCCCTTCCTGGAAAGGGAGGCATTTCCTTCCGGAACTGACGGCCCTGCAGTGAGAGCTGTGGCCCTTGTTAGCTGCAGGCCGTGGGCTCTCAGAGGAGACGCGGTGCCTCCTGGTCCCGGGTGCCTGTGTGTGCTTGAGGAGTGCGGAGCGCCGAGCAGGCTGCCGTGTTGAGGAGCATTTACTGAAAAAGTGACACCTCGAGATGCGTTTGGTTTCCACTGTCTGGTCACCAGTTGTTGTAAAGCTCCCAAGGCAGCCGGTGGCAGCGCAGAGCCCACGCTGCCTGCGGCCTCGGAGAGCGTCCCGCCTTGCCCAGTCCTCCCAGGGCAGTCTGTCTCCACAGCAGCTGTTGGGGCCCCAGCACCGCCTGAGTGTGTCCACACAGGTGCTGGAGGCTCCTGGGGGAAGGGTCATAAAAATACACACGTGGGGGTCTTTTTTGTGCAGAAGTAGCGAGTTATCAAAACAGTGAGGAGACGCCTGTGTTCTGTGTCGCAGGGATGGACCGAGCCCAACAGCTTCCACGTCTGCATCACGTCCTACAAGCAGTTCTTCCGGGGCTACGCGGCCTTCACGCGGGTGCGCTGGCGGTGCCTGGTCATCCACGAGATGCAGCGCGGTCAATGGGCCTGAGCGAGCGGCACTGGGAGGCGGTGTTCACCCTGCAGAGGTCGGCCTGGCCTCCCGGGCTGTGGGGGGCTGAGGGTTCAGTGACACAGACGGCCTGTGTCCTTGGCACAGTCCCTCCTGTGAGGACACCAGAGTGTTGGTTTAGCACAGCCATGTCGTCCAGGCACCTGGGGGACGCATAGTTACCCCGTAGACTTGCCTTGTCCTTGAACGTCTCAGACGCAGCAGTCCTAGCGGGGCTTTCAGACGTGGTCTCTGGTCTCGTGTGCAGCCAGCAGCGCCTGCTCCTGATCGACGCGCCGCTGCACAACACCTTCCTGGAGCTGTGGACCATGGTGCACTTCCTCATCCCGGGCCTCTCGCGGCCCTACCTGCACGTCCCCCTGCAGGCCCCCACCGAGGAGAACCAGGACTACTACCACAAGGTGTTCATCCGCCTGCACAGAGTACGTGCGCCCCCCCCCCCCCCCCACATCATGGTGGTGTGCGGTGATGTCATTCCCAGAGGGAACCACGGCGTCTCCTTCCCCAGGTGACCCAGCCGTTCATTCTGAGGAGAACCAAGAGGGACACGGAGAAGCAGCTGACCAAGCGGTATGAGCACGTGTTGAAGTGTCGCCTGTCCAGTCGACAGAAAGCCTTGTACGAGGACGTCATCCTGCAGCCTGGGTGAGTGCACCGCCTATGCTCGGTCCCCTCCGCCTCCTCACCCCCCACCCACGCCCAGGGCCAACCCGGGCGTGGCCGGCGCTCCGTGTCCATTCGTGCAGGAGACACGTCCTGACGGGACCTCGGACGTCAGGTTTCAGGCCAGTGTGGCCCCAGGACGGCTGCACAGTTGTCCCCCCTTGTCCACAGGGGAGCTGTGCCAGGGCCGCCTGGAACTGCATGACCCTCAGGGCTGGACTGTCCATAGCAAACCTCTTCACAGTCACGGCCGGACGTTCATGCTGACTGGAGGTCTCAGGACCCTCCCCATGCAGTCCCTTCTCTTTCCTTATTGGAGTTGGAGAGCGTTCGCCTTTCCCCTTAAAGGAGCACCTTCCGGGGTCTGGGATTCCCACTGTGCCAGGATCACTGCTCTTGCTCGTTGGGGCATTTTAAGTAAAATAAGGGCGAGTTGAACACGTGTGCTGATGCCAGGACAGTCAGTCTGCTTAAAGTGACTAACAGCTGGAGTGTCTACAGCGTGGGACGCCTGGGCAAAGGGGTGACTGACACCCCAGCAGGAGAGATTTCAGCACGCTGTCCAGAGCAGCACACAACTTCAACCTAGACGTTGCTTATTTCTAGAACTTTGCATTGGATGGCTTTGGATTGTGGGTAGCTGACACCACGGGTCCATGGAGCCACGTGTCAGGGGCTGCTGCGTGCTGCCTGACCCTCCCCGGCTCTCTGACTCCCGTCCTGTCGTGGGGACGGAGGGAGCCTCAGGGTGACAAGACGGGAGTCGGGCCTCAGGTGTGGTGACGTAGCCGAGCGCGTCGGGGGCGGACGTGCGTCCCTGTCGGAACCGGCGGGGCCGACGCTGAGTGCTCGTGTCTCCGTCAGGACCCAGGAGGTGCTGAAGGGCGGGCACTTTGTGGACGTGCTGAGCATCCTGCTGAGGCTGCAGCACATCTGTAACCACCCGGGGCTGGTGGAGCCCCGGCTCCCGCGGTCCTCGTTTTCGGCCCGGCCGCTGCAGCTCCGCTTGGCCTCCCTCGTGCTGAAGGCGCTCGACAGGGATGCCTGGACGGTAAGGAGGGACCTAGGAAGGTGGGTGTGTCTGGGTCCTGCGGTCCTGACACGGCAGCACCGAGCAGCCTTTGTGCCGTGCCTTCCCCTTGAGAAGCGTCCGTGTGGCGCTGACCGCGGGGCAGGCTCCTTAGCGTGGCGTGTGCTGTTGGACTCTGAGAAGGGGTACAGGGTGGACGTGACGGGGAGCTGGCTGCAGCGAGGCGACACCCCCTGGGGACACAGGCAGTGCTTGGGGCACAGGCCCAGAGGCCCAGGACCTGGGCACCTGCCTTGTGTGTTGGGGGAGCTGGTGCAGGTGCAGGTGCAGGTGCAGGTGCAGGTTGGGGTCAGGCCAGGGACCTGGTGGCTTCGGGTCCCCCTCCCTCGAGTAGGGAGGTTCAAGGTGTGACTAGTGAGTGTGTGACAGTCTGAGGACCCTGAGCGAGCGGTGTGCTGTGAGCGGGTCAGCTGCTGCTGCTGCAGTTGACCCGTGTCAGAGGGGCCCGGTCCATCGGGGCTGCTTCCTGTGTTGTGCTTCTGAGATGCCATGGAGACACTTTGTCACCTGGACACACCTCTGCAGTGTGCAGCGTGTGGGCTTGCATGTGCACGGCCTGTGCCGCCATCGCCCACGTCCTGGCCTCTCAGTGTCCAGAGCGAGTGCACCGTGGACTCACTCCCTGCCGCCCAGCCTCAGGCAGCTCCTCTGTCACTCTTTGTGAACCCATGCGCTACACACACGTGGGGCCAGACCATGCGTGGACTTAGGTGCCTGGCTTCTGCCCTCAGGGGGCTGTTGGCCGTTTGCCATGTGGCAGCAGGATTTCCTTCCTTTGAAGATTGAAGGGCTCCCCCGCAGGCACACCGTTTTGCTTGTCCGCTCATCAGGTGGACGTGGGTGGTTCCCACGTGTGGCCCTCGTCACACTGCCGTGGGCCCTCGGGCACAGTTTCGTGTGGGCGTGGTCATGGTTCCCTTGGGCGCAAGGCTAGGCCTGGAGGTGCAGGTCAGGTGTGACTGGTGAACTGCTGACTGCTTTCCCCGGCAGCTGCACTCCTCTCCCGTCAGTGTGTACAGGTGGGAGGTGCCCCTTTCTCCAGTCCCCGCCCACCCGCTTCCACCTTCCTGGGTTCTCACTCAGCAGTGAACATCCCAGGGCTCTGCTGTTGGACGGCGGCATCCACACAGCCACCGCCACTGGCACCAGCTCTTGGGTCTCCCGGGGTCTCTCCCACGCCACAGACTTCCCTCTCCTCTGCCGCGTCTAGTCCGTCCCTGGGTGCTGCCTTCTCCATCCCACAGCCACTCAGGTGACCATTCCCGTCTCAGCTGGGGAGAGGGAGGCACGCTGAGCCCCAGCGCGCGGCACAGCTTGGTCTTCAGGAGACCTCGCGGCACGGCCTGGCCTTCCTGTCTGCGCACCTGCTTGGATTCTTAGTCGAGGCCTTTCTACCGTCCCACACAGCTCGTTTTTCCTTCTGCTTAGGAAACGGATCTTTCTATATTTGACCTTATTGGCTTAGAAAATAAAATGACTCGCCACGAGGCTGAGCTGCTGTGCAAGAAGAGGGTGTCACGGAAACTCATGGAGGAGCTCTTCACCGCCCCGCCCCCGCCCGGCCGGCCCCCCGCGGTCCGACTGAAGCCCAGCAGGTGTGTGCGGCCCCTGGCTGTGGGTGGGAGTGACACTGGGAGGCTTGGCTCCAGGCTGGTGTTTCCACGAGACCCTGGCTCCAGGCTGTGAGAAGAGGCCAGTCGCCTGTTGGGTTGTCTGCTCTGGACACGGCCCAGGTGTCCTCTGCTCTGAGTCGCTCAGTGTCAGTGGGAAGTGTGGGCTTGGCTCTCACCCGCCTGAGGAGTGGCCCTTCACCGTCTTTACAAAGTGTTAGGATTGGGGCTGGGACCCGTCATCGGGCTGAACCCGACCTGGTGGGTGGTGTGGGGGTAGCTGTCCTGGCCGATGTTGGGGAGCGAGGGCAGAGGGGCGCTGGAGGGTGGTGTGGGCCTGCGGCGAGCAGAGGGCTCCTGACTAAGCGAAGGGACCCCTGGGAGGATGACCATGGTGCAGGCGCCTGGAGGCTGGGACGGGGCAGAACCCGTCTGAGCGTGACGAAGGCAGAGCCCGCGTGGCTCAGGAGGGGCTGACCCGGAGCGGGAAACAGATGAAGTCCTGGGCACGAGCTAAAACGAGGGGCGGGGCAGCCAGCATTTGAGACAAAGGGTCAAATCTGCAAACCGGCAGCCATTCTTGTCGCCTCGTCTGTGTGTGTCTTCCCGGGCACCTAGGCCCTCGGACCTGCCCGGCGGTGACGACGCTGCCTCTGCTGGTGTCGCACGGGGTTCACAGGGCGTCCTGCTCCGCAGTTCCCGGGAGAGCTGGCTGCTGTGAAGCCCGGGGGCACCCGCGGGCCCCGCGTGGTCGCGCTCTGTGGCCGAGGAGGCTGTTCCGTCTGCCCTTCCTGTCCCTGTGCTCCATCCCCTGAGGCTGCCATTGACCTTTCACCTCACTGCTTCCTCTAAGCCAGTGGTTCTCAACCTCCTGATGCCGCGACCCTTTAACACAGTTCCTCATGCTGTGGTGACCCCCAATGTCATTGTGACAAATTGAACATAATTAATAAAGCACAGTGATTAATCACAAAAACAATACGTAATTATAGATGTGTTTTCCGATAGTCTTAGGCGACCCCTGTGAAAGGGTCGTTTGACCCCCAAAGAGGTCGCGACCCACAGGTTGAGAACCACTGCTCTAAACCGTCATCTGGACTTGGTGTGCCAGATGCCTTTCCTTGTCCACTCTGATAGGAACCGAATTGAAGTAAAATCACACCCCATCACGCAGGCTCGGGGGCCACTGTCGTGTGCTGAGTGTTGCCAGCACCGCCCGGCCCCCCTGCTGTAACCAGCAGCCTGAGTGGGAGCCTGCTGCTCGGGCAGGCACCCCCGGCCTGCTGCAGCGACGCTGTCTTCCCGTCCACACGCGTCTAGGTTGTTCCAGCCTGTGCAGTACGGCCAGAAGCCCGAGGGCCGCACGGTGGCTTTCCCCAGCACACACCCGCCCCGGACGGCCACCTCCACGGCGGCCACGGCCACGCCCCAGGGCCACGTGCGAGGACGGCCGCCCATCGCCACGTTCTCTGCTAACCCGGATGCCAAAGGTATGTCTTGTGTGGTGGTGTGTTTGCCACGGAGGGTGCTGCCTGGCCCCTCTGACGAGGGACCTCCATTCTGCCGAAGAGACCTGTGCAGCCCTCGCACGAGTTGGAGGCTTTTTTATGTCTTTAAACTGGATTTTACAAGGCGCTGCACGCTTCGTGGAGGCGTGTGTGGCGTGGGATGAGGATGCTCCTGGAGGGAACTCGGCTCTCAGGCTTCCGAGGAGGTGGCTGCTGTTTCCTGCCCTGCTTTGCCGTCACCTGATTCACAGCAGAGAAGGATGGGGCAGGGGCAGGCAGGTGACGCGGGCCGTGCCGGGCCGTCAGCGGGTCCTGGGCCATGTGCACGGCGGCTTTGAGTGGCCAGAGCTGCTGCGTGCAAGCGCCCCTGGTGCAGCTGGAGGTGCAGCCTCTGTGTGCGCCTTTGTGGGGGTCAGGATTCCCTCCGGTGGACACGGGTTTACATGGCTGACTTCTAACACTGTTCGCTGCAGGAATGTACTGCCGTGTAGGCTGCTGGTTCGCGCCAAGTGGAAATAGTTAACAGCGGATAAAAAGTCATACCCTCTGTCTAGACCACATTGGCCTTCACCCCCTTTTTAGAGAGAACTTCTCATTTGAGAGACAGTATGAAATGTTTGTTTTATTTCTTTAAAATTCGGGTTAAAGTACTGCGTTGCATTGAGAACCTCTAACAGCTCTGCACAAACCACCCTTGTCGATTGCAGCGGCAGCGGCCCCCCAGGCTCCCACCGGTGCTCCGAGACCCCAGGCCGCCTCGACCTGCAGCACAGCTCCTAGCCCAGCCCATCCTGCGAAACTGCGGGCTCAGACCGCGCCCCAGGCCTCCGCCCTGGGCCCATCCCAGCCCCAGCCCCAGGCCCCCTCGCACCCGGCCGGGCAGAGCACGCTGCCTCAGGGGCTGCTGCTCACCTCCCAGGCCCAGGCGCGCCTGCCTAGTAAGTGGCCTTGCCTTCCCGGGGCTCTGCCCCTGCTCCCAGGAAGCTGTGCTCAGACCAGCAGTGTGAAGAGCCTCTCTGTCCACTCCTGTCCCCCCAAGCCGGCGCTGCCTTTGCCGAGCTGTGGCCCTGCTGTCCTTTCCGGCCCTAAATCTCAGGGCCGGTGCCCAGGGCCTGTCCTTTCTCTGCCTTTTCTCCTGACCCCGTCCCGTCCGTCCGTCAGCTCTGCTTTCCTCCCGCACTCGCTCTGAGCTTCATGCTGATGACTGTGCCTCCCTCACTGTGAGCCGGGCTTTGGCCCAGGGCCGAGATCAGCTGGGGAGCAAAGGGGTAAAATGAAATCGGCCGCTTCCTGGACAGCCATGGCCTAGTGTTCGGTTTCTAAAACCAGGACTTCCTTTTCATCTCTCGCTGTTACCAGATTTAAACCTGGGATAAATTATTGCTCAACGGAGACATTTAGTAATAATTCAATGACTAAGATCTCAATTTTATTAAATACTAGAGGCCTGGGGCACAAAATTCATGCAAGGGGCTCTGCCCTCGCAGCCCCGGCTTCGTCCGGAAGGATGTCCGGTCTAATTAGCATATTATGCTTTTATTATTATAGATTTTAATAGGATTTTTCATTGTGACCAGTGAGATTAGCATATTTCCAAATTTCACCTGGACCCTGTCCATTCTGCTGTGGAAGGTGCCCTTCCTGGCACGGCCGCCTGGTCTCTCAGGTGCTGCTCGAACACTCGCTGTGGGATGACGGACTGTGGAGGGGAGAGGAGAGGAGCGTGGTGTCCTGAGGACCCGCGTTCAGGCTGGGTCCGCAGTCCTCTCGTCTGCTGCCTGCAGAGTCACCACTGGGCCCCACTGCCGGTGGGACGTGTTTCTTGGCCTGGGACGGGGCTTCTGTGCTGTGCTTGGGGCATCGTCCACCAGGTCGCCTTCGTCTGGTGGCCTTCACCTCTGTGTGGACCTCGAGGGCTAACGGGACTCACTCTCTGCCTCTCCTTTCTCACTTTCCTGTCCTTAATCACGGTTCTGTGCGCAAGATTCCTGGGTGTTTTTCTTGTCTTTTGCTAATTGTTTTTATCACTAATGATTCTTGAATGGGTTTTCGTAGGAGGAACATTTAGACTCAAATATCAACCATTGGGTAAAAAAACCTTTAATCCTGTGTAATGACAGCCTTTTTGAATGAAGTGCATGTGACTCCATCTGAATTCGTTTTCCACAGAAAGGTTATAAGCAGCGTGACGCCTCGCGCTTCTTGACAGTAAACACTGCAGATCAGCCCCACGTCCCTGCGACGGGAGCTTTTGTCTCGAAGCTCCAGCCGGGACGTGTTTCTGTACTGACTGCGGGGGAAGCGCGGCTCATGCCTCCCTCTGAGCTCAGCTGCGCGAGGCTTCTCCGCTGGGGAGGGTCTGGCGCGGAGGCTGCCCCGAGGCTCAGGGTGGGCTCTGCTCTGTGACGGTGGCTGCGTGCTCACTGGTTGGGGAGGGAAGGAGCGTGTCCCCCGCAGGGTGGTTACTGTCTAACGTCTCAGGTCCCACCAGTTACGATGGCAGGAGTTAACCATTAAAATCTGATGTCAACTTGGTCTTCTCTTTCCTATTAAAATCGTTCTTTCCTAAAAGTGTCATCACTGTTTTTCTGATACTTCTGTTTACTACCCGAGGTCGTTCTATATGACAGTGTCACATTCGAAAACTTTGCACAGAAGTTTCATTCCCCTTTCCTCTGTGTTCCCTTAGGCGGGGAGGTGGTCAAAATAGCACAGCTGGCGTCACTCGCAGGACCGCCCAGTCGCGTGGCCCAGCCAGAGACCCCGGTGACGCTGCAGTTCCAAGGGAACAAGTTCACCTTGTCTCACAGCCAGCTGCGGCAGCTCACCGCCGGCCAGCCCCTGCAGCTGCAAGGTGAGTCCGCGCACAGTGCCTCCCTGACGCCACAGCGAGCCTGGCCCGAGGGGCTGGGAGGACCAGTGGGTAATGTGTGTGTACCTGGCTGCCCAGTCCTTCACACGGGCTCAGTAGATGGTAGTCATTGAAAAAACCTACCCTTTGCCCAGCTGACAGGGCTCAGTGATTGAGCATCGACCTATGAACCAGGAGGTCATGATTGATTACCGGTCAGGGCACAGGCCCGGGTTGCGGGCTCCATCCCCAGTGTGGGGCGTGCAGGAGGCAGCCGGTCCATGATTCTCTGTCATCATTGATGTTTCTCTCTCTCTCCCTTTCCCTTCCTCTCTGAAATCTATAAAAAATCTACCCTTTGATAACAAAGTTTCCTATTTTTAAAATCAGAATAGAAACACTTGCTGCTTCTGATTTAAAAGGCCAAGGACTGCAGCTGTGCTCACAGGTTGCAGGTAGCTCCAGGCCAGAGCTCCCCGCCTGTGGCCGAGGGCGATGTGTCCGTGGAGTGGCTGCTGTTTGAGGGAAGGAGGGTGCGTGCTCCCGCTAGTCCTGAGTGACCACAGGGCAGCAGCTCAGTCACGTGTGTCCCCCTCAGTTGTGGGTTTGCGTTCAGGGGTGGTGTCCTCAGCAGCCCTGCCCGCACGTGTCCGGGACGTGGTGAGCATGGCTCCCGGTTGTGAAGGTCACTCACTGGAGAGGCACAGTTGGCAGAGCGGAGGCCCCTAGGAACCCTGCAGCAAAGAAACGTTCAATTGGTCTAATTTCCTGCTTCTCCAGGTTTTGGTCAAAGGGGCGAGGCCATCTGGTGCTGTAGTTTCTGTGGGACGTGGGAGGTTCCTGCAGAGCAGAAGGGGAGACTCGGTCACACCGAGGTGGAGTGCCGGCTCCTTAAGCAGAGCCACAGCATTTGCACTTAACAAACACGTCAGCCTTTTCTTCATCAGCTGGCGGGTCGGCAAGCACCAGCCTGTGATCAGGCAGCTGGGACCTTCCCTGGGACTCAGGCCTCACGCCGACGTGACCGACCCTGAGCAAGTGCCCCTTGCACTGCCCCGAATTCCTAGGAATTTCTAGGAATCGATGAGCTTCCTTTTGACATTAAGAAAAACGACATTGTTTCTTTTTTCTTTCTTTTTTGCTATTTATTGATTTCAGAGAGGAAGGGGGAGAGAGAGAAACATGCATGATGAGAGAGAATCACTGATTGGCTGCCTCCTGCACATCCCTACTAGGCATCGAGCCTGCAACCGGGCATGTGCCCTGACCTGGAATCAAACTGTGACCTCCTGGTTCACAGGTCCACGCTCAACCACTGAGCCTCACCAGCTGGGCTGTTTCTTAGAGTTACATTCATTGTGAATAAAGTGTTTTCCTTTTGCTACAAGTAACTGAACTTTGCATTGCCATGTGGGAGCAAGTGTGGTTTTGGAAATTGGGTTTGTGGCCTGTGTCTGCACCTTGGAGAGGGCGTGACTGATGGCCCTGGCACACGTGTGATTACAGGCAGCGTCCTTCAGATTGTGTCCGCCCCCGGGCAGTCCTACCTGCGACCGCCAGGCCCCATGGTGATGCAGACCGTGTCTCAGGCGGGTGCCCTGAGCGCCCTGGGAAGCAAGCCCCCGACCAGCGGCCCCGGCCCCGCTCCCGTGGCCCCACCAGGTAGAGTGCTCTGAGCAGGGGGAAGACTGGCTGTGCGGCCTCTGGCTCCCTCCCTCGCAGGTACCGGGAGGCCTTGAGGATTCTGGCTGCGGGGCCTCAGAACCTGCAGGTCCCGCCGTGGCCATGTCTGATTTCCACGGACACCAGTGTCCACTGGGTCTCCTTTGTTGTTGGCTCTCAGAGTTTCTGGTTGACACTCACCAGCCTCCACTCACTGTAGATGTTTGTCTGGTGCTAGGATTTCCCCTGGGACAGACAACGAGGCGGGGTCCTCGGTGTGAGACAGAGGATGCTGCCTCTTGCCTGGTCCACAGCCTGCTTCCCCCAGGGTCCTCCTGCTCCCTGGACCCGCTCCTGCCGAATCACCGCGACTCTCCCCGGTGCCCCCAACCAGGCCCCTGGAGCCGTCCCCGCGCACACGTGTCAGGGCCACAGCAGCCCTGACCATTTGGGGGTGGCTTTGTGCCGGTCTGGAGGGCAGCTGACTCCTGGCCTGAGGGCCGCCAGGTTGATGCTGAGGAAGGGCCAGGGCCCTGGTGGCTGGTGTGCCGGCGTGAGGGCCGTGAGGACGGCGCATAGGCATTCGCCACGGGAGGAGACAGGCTGGCGCTCGCTCAGAACGTGGCCAGAGGGCAGGGGTGCCCCACGGGTTCTGACCAGCACAGGCGTGAACGTGCAGAGAGAGGGAGCACTGACCTGAGGGCGCCTGGGGGCAGGTGTGCGCAGCGTCCGGAGCTGTTTCCAACCTTGGTTTTGGTTTGCAGTTGGTGTGCCTGGTCGAGTGGCGGTCAACCCCCTGACTGTGGGCGAACCCGGCATGGCCCCCAAACCAGCGTCTCCCATCGGGGGGCCCACCCAGGTACTGAGCACCTCCGAGGACGTGGCTGGGTTACGTACATTTCATTTTAAAACGCTTTCCTAACAGAAGGAATGAAACTGGCTCTATGATGGCAAACGTCTCCTTTCACGTAGTTTATATTCTTGTGACGTGGGAAATGCTGTCTCGAGAAACTGCTTTTCTCCTCTGGGGTGCTCTGGGGGCAGGCCCCGCCCAGGGCCCCGCTGGCCTGTGGTTTCTCACGGGCCGTTCCCATCACTTTCTGATGCAGGAGGACAAGGCCCGGCTTCTGAGAGAGCGGCTGGACCAGGTCCACTCTGTCAATGAGCGGCGCTGCTCCCGCGCCCCCATCTACGGGGCAGACCTGCTGGCGGCTTGTTCCCTGGCCTGTGGAGAACGGGGCTCGGGGCTCGGAGCTCTGGGGAGCAGGCATGGGAAGGGGGCCAGGCCAGCGAGTGTCTGCACGTCACCTTCAAACCGTCACAGGGACCTGATTTTGACGCTGACTCAACGTCAAGAGTCCCTCCAAGATCTTATCGACAGGTGAGGTGGTTTCCCTGCGTGAAGGGCCTGGTGCTCACCTCGCCCTCCCCACCCCCCACCCACCCCCGTGCCCTTCTGTTTCCATGGGGTTCTTCCAGGTGTGAGTGTGCGTTGAAGGTTCCTCCCTGTCTTGTCTTGGCTGATAGCTCATTTCTTGTCAGCGGACGCGTCCTCCGTTGCCCGGATGGACCAGTGTTCTTGATCCATTCCCGGCTGAGGACATCTAGGTTGTTTCCAAGTTCAGGAACTGACAGCGCAGTCACCGTCTGTGTGCAGGTTTCCATGTGGATATGGGTTTTCAGCTCTTTCGGGCAAAAAGCTAGGAGCGTGATGGCTGGACCGTGTGGTGAGACTGTGCCTAGTTCTGTAAGAAACAGTCTTCCTCAGTGGCGCCCCCCCCCCGCTCCCCCGCTCCCCAGCAGGGAGTGCGGGTCCTGGGGCGCAGGAAGTGGAGCGTCTCTCGGTGGCTCATTTGCATGTGTCTTCTTTGGTGAGTGTCTGTTCAGGCCTTTGGTGCGTTTTTAATCAGGTCGCCTTCGTTCTGTTGAGTGTTGAGAGCTCGTTGTACCTGTGGACAATAGTCCTTTAGCAGGTGTGTCCTTTGCACACGTGTCCCAGTCCGTGGCTTCCCTTCGTGCTCTCTGGACAGCGTCCTTGGCAGAAGAGGAGTTTTTAGTTTCAGCGGAGTCAGCTGGTCAGTCTTCTCTCTCATGGGTCGTGTCTTTGGTGTTGTGTCTAGAAAAGTCGTCACCACCGGGTCACCCAGGTCCCTGTGAGCTGTCTTCCCGGGGTTTGTCCTTGTGCAGCTCACACTCAGCTCTGTGACCCCGAGTCAGTGTGTGTGAGGGTGAGCTGGGCGTCCGGTCCTTCCCTGCACGTGTGTCTGTGGTGTGGTCGTCCTGTGCCCGAGTCAGGGAGTGTGAGGGTGAGCTGGGCGTCCGGTCCTTCCCTGCATGTGTGTCTGTGGTGTGGTCGTCCTGTGCCTGAGTCAGTGTGTGTGAGGGTGAGCTGGGCGTCCGGCCCTTCCCTGCACGTGGTGTCTGTGGTGTGGTCGTCCTGTGCCCGAGTCAGTGTGTGTGAGGGTGAGCTGGGCGTCCGGTCCTTCCCTGCACGCCCTTCCCTGCACGTGTGTCTGTGGTGTGGTCGTCCTGTGCCTGTCGGGGCCAGGTGACTAGAACGAGGAGGTCTGCTCCTGCGCTCTCTACGCCGCCCCAGGGCCTGCTGTCTCGTCTCTCGTCAGCACCGCTGTCTGGGTGGCTGCCACTTCATCGTCTGCCTTGGGAGTCGTGTGGCCGTCCTCAGACTCGGTTCTCTCCCTGTCGTGTGGCTGTGATGGTCTTTTGCCTCCAGATAAACTTTAAAATCAGCTGGTCGGTAGCCACGAAACGACTTGCTGGGGTTCTGACTGGGCTGGTGGGGAGCCTCTGATCAAGCTGGGAGGGCTGCGCCCGGCGCAGGGAGTCTGTCTGTCCAGGAAGGTGGGACGTCCCTCCGTCTCCTTAGTTACTTGGTCTTCCTGGTCGGTGTTGGATGGTGGGTGGCTCTGGTTTGCTGCAGTGGCAGCAAGTAATGGACTCCAGACGCTGAGCTGACCGCCCGAGGAAGGGCTTTCTGGTGCAGGTGG